GATAAAGAGACATTTTTGGGAAAGTTCTTCCAAATTGGAATCCTTAAATGAGTAAAAACCCTTGTCCGAATAAAGCATTCTTAATATATGTTTCCAGTGTTTGGTTATAGAGTTTAAATTATTCAAATGGATACCAATGTGAGGAAGAGCAAGAATGGGACGCCCTGAGAGATCAATAAAGAGACATTGTTTGGAAATGTTCTTCAAAATGGAAACCCTTAAATGAGTAAAAACCCTTGTCCGAATAAAGCCTTCTTAATATATGTTTCTAGTGTTTGGTTATAGAGTTTAAATTATTCAAATGTATACCAATGTAAGGATGAGCGAGAAGGGGACGAGAAACCCTGAGAGATCGATAAAGAGACATAGTTTGGGAAAGTTCTTCAAATTGGAAACCCTTAAATGAGTTAAAACCCTTATCCGAATTAATAAAGCCTTCTTAATATATGTTTTCAGTGTTTGGTTACAGAGTTTAAATTATTCAAAAGGATACCAAAGTGAGGACGAGCGAGAAGGGGACGAGAAACTCTTAAAGATTAATAAAGAGACATTATTTGGGAATGTTCTTCAAAATGGAAACCTTTAAATAAGTAAAAACTCTTGTATGTAAAACCCTTATCCGAATAAAGCATTCTTAATATATGTTTCCAGTGTTTGGTTACAGAGTTTAATTATTCAAATGGATACCAATGTGAAGACGAGCGAGAAGGGGACAAGAAACCATGAGAGATCGATAAAGAGACATTGTTTGGAAATGTTCTTCAAAATGGAAACCTTTAAATGAGTAAAAACCCTGGTTTGTAAAAACCTTGTCCGAATAAAGCCTTCTTAAGATGACCAGGTAATCCAAGAGAAACAATTGCATTGTTTTGCTTTTTGTTTGAGTGGTGAACATTTTCAATATGTTTATAATCAAGAATTTTCTTTGTTCTTTCATTTTTGGAGGTTTGGATTCAAAAGAATATTTTATATTTGTTTATTTTCTAAAGTTTCGATTTAAAAGAATTTTAAACTCTTTCTTCTGTTCTATTTGAGCATGAGTATATTAATTTCACCTTTATCGTTATTTTTTATTTTATTTTATTATGGAATTTGATGGAATGTGTTTCATCCAATTTAGGTTTTTTCCTTAAATTATTTCTTCTACTATATGATTCTATATATTGATTATGATTGTATTGATTTTACTTTTGACGTTATTTTTTATTTGATAAATTCCTTTTTCCTGAAGTATATTTCTATTTGAGTATTATTCTATTGACTTTACCTTTGTCATTATTTTTTATACTCTTGTGAAATTTGATGCAATAGTTTCATTCAATTTAGTATTTAAATCCAAAAGAAATGCATAAAACGTGTTAAACACTTTGCATGTATGTAATGCCCAAAAGATATAAAAAAAAAACAGCACATGGTAATCTAAGCTAAGGAAATTGTGCATTCAAGAATAATACTTATTTACCTGAAAAACATTTAAATCAACTAGGGCGAGTAATTGACATTACTCCGTAGTTTCTTTGGTCTCGCAATTATTATAACTCATGCAACACAAGTATGGAATATACCTCCTAACGTCTAGTCCAACGAAATTCTTAAAGTTCTCCTAGAACTAATAATTGAATCCATTCCGAATATATGAAAAACAAAATATATGCACTCAATGTAAACCAAACCAAGTTACACTACCATGTATACCACCTTGGAAATATAACTCGAAATCAAATAATGGGAATGACTTGGACTCAAAAATAAAAAAAGTCATACACCTACATTACTCGATGGAGGAGTTAAATCGTCAATATTCTAGTTTAGAATGAAAAGAAGTACTGAACTATATCTAACTCCTTGGTGTACGGTGGTAGGTTGAAGATGACACTGTACTATAAGTTTGTTATAAGCTAATTGAACCGTCAAATGCATATTTTAATTCGCAAAGGAAGTTATGCCTATATAATTTAATGGTTTAACATGACTAATAATATTTACTGTGGATGTCAATTCACTGATGTTTCTAAAGAACTTTAAGGTGTTATTAAATTCAAAGTGATTTCATTACTGTAAAAAATATATTTATACAATGCTAACATAGATCCCATGTCTTTTATTGGGTGTCCATTGTTAATTAATTAGTGATCAATTCCTTTTTAGTAATGAAAAAACAACTAAGAGAATGTGCGTTTCATGTCGCTTGCTTAATTTCACTTTCAGTTACGTCCTTTTTAATATTTACTATAATATTTAATTAGGTTTGAGGGATTTAAAGTTTGAAACTTAGTAAACAAGCTAGCCTTACTTTACGAAAAGTCACATCTGATAATGCACAGAAAAAAGTATTTATCAAATGAATAATTTTTTTCTTTCTTTCTTTTCTTTTTTTTTTACGAAAAGTCACATCTGATAATGCACAGGAAAAAGTATTTATCAAATGAATAGTTTTTTTTTTTTTTTTTTTAAAGAAAGAAAGAAAGAAAATATAACAAGTTAAAATTATAAAGTTTTTGGTCTACTTAATTACAACTTGGATCAATAGCTCAGTGGTACCTACTCTTTTGTCAAAGGAACTTTAAAGGTTCTAGCCCAATAATGGAAATAATATGGAATTTGAATCTCTCCAATAGTTTTTCATCCAAGCATTTTCAAGTTTTCGTCCACCATTAAAAATGTGTCAATTAGATTTTGTTGCTTTTATGCACGGACTTTGGTTAGATCATCATTTGTCTTATTACCTACTATAACGGGCGAGCGTCCATTTACCCAAAAGATCAAACTATTGAGTAGTGCTACATACCCACCAATTTATACCCAATCACTTTCTTATCCGGATTCAATGTAGGATAAATAATGCTTGTTACACCTAGCATGTTGTGGGGGTTCTTTAGAATCTGTCAATCTTATAAATCAAAGGGAGTGATATCTAAATACAAGATATAATGGAATATCCAAAAAACCAACCCCTGGTTCTAAGTTCCTCAAACTTTATTTTGTAGGCCCAGACCCTTACATGATTAGAGAAGTCCCTCGATATTTCTCTTAGAGTAGTGTGGAGGGAAAAATCCTCCTCCAATAAGAGTTGTCCATGTCACTGTAATATAAAATTGTACTTTTGATCTTTTGTTGAATTGCAGAAGCCCAATCCTGGTTGAGCCAAAATTAGGTCTCTATTTAGCCCAAGATCGTTAATGCTAAACTTTCAGCCCATCAAGCAAGCTCAGTCGGCCTAAGGTGTATTCGGCCCAAACATATTTTTTTTGAGTCCTACTAAACGAAGGATCTTACATGAAAGGAAACTTCTACAAAATGAAAAGTCTGACATGGAGACAATTGTAAAAGGAAGTAATTTAATTAGTAAAGAATTGTATATGGAATATATTGGAGGACAAGCAAGGCGAGTCCTACCATAATTCCACCACCTTTTGTGCATAAATAGAGACTTAGTCCTCCAATAAAAGATATAGAGCAATATACACTTTTCTCTGAGTAATTCTTGCTACTTATTATTTTATCTTGAGTGAGTTGTATTATTTCTTTTTAAATTCTTTTATAGAGAGGAATTTTGCACCTACAGTTTGGCGCCATTTGTGGGAAACGTATAGAAATATACTCCCACAAGTGATTCAAATCATTTATGCTACTACGATCTGGAATGTCAATCGGAGGATCCGCAGCAGCAGCTGATCAATAGATGGAATTGATGCAAAAGATGCGAGAAGAATTCTTGCACCAATTCAAAACGCTTCATCAAGCGAATGAGGCTAGCACGGCCTAGATTCCGCTGCTTCAATAGAGGAATGATGCCCTCTAAGTAGCTATGGCCCAGATAGCACCACAGCCACCACCAGGTGATGCGGTAGCACCTCCCCTCAACTAAAACATTCCTTTGGTTAACGAACCTCAAGCCAATAAGGTTCGGCCTAACGAAGTTCAGCAAGAGCAGAGGACAAGAACCGAAGTGGTCGCTTCGGACAATCATCCTCGTCGCATACAGGACGAATAAGCCGAGTCTAGCCATAAGCTTACGGTATAGTCTAATGGTATTCCGGATGGCGCTGGTGTCCAAAAGGCCTTTGATGAGAAGAGGCTCCTGAGGATTCAGACGCCTGCCAAGATGGCTAGAAAGCATAAGAACTCTCTAGTGAAGACTCCGTTCATCGATAATATATACTTTGTTTATAGACCTAAGAAATTCACCATGCCTTCTTTCACTCAGTTTGATGGCATAGGAGTTCCTTCTCGTTACCTTGATCACTATTCACAGAAGATGGCTCTAGACAATCATAATGATGCATTCATGTGTAAGGTTTTTTCGACTAGTCTTGCGGGAGCCGCATTGGAATGGTTCAAGAATAGGCCGCACAAGTCCATTCCAAACTACAAAACTTTGTGTGCCATGTTCCTAGCATAGTACTGCGGAAACAAAAAGCAGAAAAAGACCATCGCCAGTCTCTTCACTATAAGGCAAAAGAGAGGAAAAATGCTACAGGATTTCCTATCCAGGTTTAACATGGAGGCCTTGGAAATAGCAGATTGTCATCCAGAGACTGCTATAGAAACATTCAAGATCAGTATGATTCAGGGAACTAAGTTCCATACTTCCTTAGTCAAATATTCCCCTCCGGACATGTAAACTCTTAATGCTAGGGTACAAGTTTACATTCGACTAGAGGAGAATGTGACCCACTGAGCATAACATGCCACCCTCGTCACAGTAGAAAATAAGCCTCGGGAAAAAAAAAACTTAAAGTTCAAAAAGTCAAAGAAGCTAGCATGCTTCAGCACCGGTCGCTCAGGTACCTGAGAAGAGGCAAAGGACAGAGGAGAGGTTCACACCTCTTCATAAAACCCTGGCTTGGTTGTTTCAAGAAAACAAGGTGAGATTTACAGCCCCTCAGCCAATGAGGCAACCCTTGGAGCAAAGGGACAAAAGCAAAAATTGTGCCTACCATAGGGATTACGAGCATACAACCAATGATTGCATATCCTTTAGACGGCAAGGGGAAAACATGATAACCAGAGGTGAGTTGGCAGATTACCTCGCACTAAAAGAGCATGTGAAGCCTAGGGAGGCCAATCCTCGTAAAGTAAAGGGAAATCAAGTAAAAGTCATTCATGCGATACATGGGAGGTCAAAGGATGACCAAGAGTCAGAAGAAGTGTACCGCTCCAGATTGAGGGCAACCTACAAACTAAGGAAGTTATCATCGGTAAACACTATCACTTCAGACAGTATTAGTATTGGGTTCGGCGATGGAGATTTATCCAGAGTTCAACTTCCCCACGAAGATCTACTAGTCATCAGTCTTCTAGTAACAAATTGCATGATCAAAAGAGTTTTGGTGGACCCAGGTAGCAGCGCCAATATTATAACAAAGGCGGTCTTTAAGCAACTAGAGATCCCTTCATCATCAATTCAGCCCACCTCTAGTCCTTTGATGGGGTTCAATGGGACAAATGTCGACCCCATTGGGGTAATTAATTTATCTGTTATTGCGGCAAAAAAGACACTGAAGGAAAACTTTGTTCTAAAAAAAATCCATCATTCTTATAATCTCATTATAGGAAGAGGTTCGATCCACCGAATGAATGAGGTCCCGTCTACCTTTCATCAGGTGATGCGATGCTTGTCTCCAGATGGAAAAGAGGTTATTAATCTTTGGGTGATCAAGTCGCTGCTAAAAACTGCTACATGCTGATATTGAATGAGGCAAATAAAAGGATCCAGTAGTCCCAACCAGATGCGACCCTCGAAAGTATTTCTAAATAGCAATTACAGAGCCCTCTGCCCAAGTATTTGAAAGCAGAGGAGGAAGCCGAAGCTACAAAGCCTACCGAGGAATCTCTCGAAATCGTCGAAGTTGTCCTCGGCGATCCTTAGAAAATCACTTATATGGGCTCTTCCCCCACAGCTAAAGAGAATGGAGTATTAACTGATGTCATCCGACGGAATGTAGATACGTTTGCTTGGGATCATTTGGACGTGCTGGGAATTAGCCCTTCGATCTTATGCCATAGCTTGAAGGTGGATCCTGCATTCAAGCCGGTTAAGCAAAGACACAGAAGGTTCGCTCCTGAGTGCAACCGAATCATTGCTGAAGAAGTAAGCAAGTTACTTCAAGTAGGTTTCATCCGAGAAGTGCATTACCCACAATGGCTCTTGAACGTAGTGGTAATTCAAAAGAAGAATGAAAAGTGGAAAGTTACATAGATTTTACCAATCTCAACAAGCCTTGCCTAAGGATAGCTTTCCACTACCCAAGATAGATCGGATGGTTGATGCTACCACAGGTTATAAGAGACTCACATTCCTTGACGCGTATTCCAGATATAATCAGATCCCTGTGAATCTAGAGGATGAAGAGAAAACCGCCTTCTTAAGTCATGCCCGTTGGACTTAAGAATGTTGGGGTAACGCAACTTACCAACGTCTCATGAACAAGATCTTTAACGAAATGCTCGAAAAAATAGTCAAAGCCTACATCGATGACATGGTGGTTAAAAGTGTGAATAAGGAGTATCATCCCAAGCACCTCCAAGAATTCTTTGACACTTTGAGAAAGTATAACATGAAACTGAATCCTTCCAAGTGTTCTTTTACGGTTTCTTCAGTGTAATTTCTCGGCCATAATGTCAACAAAAGAGGAATAGAAGTAAGCCCGGCTCAAGCTCAGGCCCTCATACAGAATCAGGAACCAAAAACTTGTAGGGAAGTACAGGTTCTAACTGGCCGAATCACAGCTCTTAGCCGTTTCATATCTTGATTGTCAGATAAATGTAAGCCATTTTTCGATGCCATAAGATCGAAGAACAAGGATTTATAGGGACTTCAGTAGCAGGAAACACTCAATTGGTTAAAGTATTACATGGCTAAACCACCAATTTTGTCTGCTCCGAAGCCTGATGAAGCCCTCAGCATGTACTTAGCAATCTCCAGTATAGCTACTAGTGCCGTACTAATCCGAAAAGAAAGAAAGAATTAGGACCTGATCTTTTACACAAGTAAGACGATGACAGATGCTGAAACAAGATATAGCAAAGTAGAGAATATCATACTAGCCTTGGTATATGTAAAGAGAAAGCTTCGGCACTATTTTGAGTCTCATAGCATCGTGGTCCTTACCAACTACCCTATGTGAGCTATTCTTTCCAAGCCAGATTTATCTGGAAGAATTACTAAGTGGGCAATTGAACTCAGCTCCTTTAACATAGCTTATGAGCCAAAGGTGTCACACAAAGGACAGGCATAAGCCGATTTTCTCTTAGAATATGAAGATAAACCCGAGGAGCCTGAGCTTCCTGAACCACAATGGGAGCTTTAGGTAGATGGCACCTCGAATCTAACCAGTGCAGGGGCTGGAATCGTTATTATAACCCTTGAAGGCACCAAGCTGTAGCAGTCAATCCGTTTGAATTTTCTTGCCACTAACAACGAAGCCGATTATGAGGCCTTACTTGCTAGGCTTCGGATGGCAAACCAGCTCCAGGTAAGGTGTCTAAAGGTTTTTAGTGACTCCCAACTTGTTGTAAATCAGGTGATAGGCAAGTATGAGCCCAAAGAAGAAAGAATGAAAGCATACAAGGAGGTTGAAGAGAGTGCTACACATGGATTCGACCAAATCGAATTCCACCAAGTACCCCAAACAGAGAACTCCGAAACAGATCAACTAGCCACAATGGTGTCTTCCTCAGACGAAGATTTAGTCTGGATAGTGCCAATCAACATCCTGGATGAACCTAGTATGAGTCCTCGGCAGGAGATAATGGTGATCCCGGACATTCCACGAGAACCATGCTGGATGGACCCGCGGGAAGCTTACCTCAAGCACTGAACTTTTCCGAACCAGAAAGCCGAGGCAAGAAAAGTAGGGTTAGCTGCGGCCAAATACTCTATTATTAATAACCAACTGTATAAAAAATCATTTTCAAGTCCATACCTGAAGTGTTTAAGCTCCAATGAGGCTCTCACGATATTAAAAGAAGTTCATGATAAAGATTATGGCAACCACTTCGGCAGAAGATCCCTCGCACACAAGATCTTAAGTCAAGACTACTTCTGGCCATACCTGGCTCAGAACCCGAAGAATACGCTAGGAAATACGATAAGTGCCAGAGATAAGGTTACCTATGGCCCATTTAATAAAATTAATTATTACATCTTATGTAAAAAGTATGTGATAACCCAAGTGATAGAGAACATGAAATTTCTTATCTTTACGTCATAATATATCTTATTGACTGCATCCTCTCAACATCTGCGGTTTTCACTACACTTACAGGTGGCCAATCCTTGTGAGTGCATTGATATTTGTGGTCACTTTTTGTACACACATATTAGCACTCGTGGCTACTCTTTATTCGACGAAGGATACCGTGTCATTTGTATATTCTTTGTCTTTTTCTTTCTTTCATATGAGCGGGCAAAACTAGTACCCTAATATGTAATGTTACAAAATGAAAGAGTCACAAGTGTTGGATGTTTAGACTTCCAATGGGATTTATAAAAGCTACTGTAGTTTTATCTCACATCGGTATTTTCCCCCATGTTTTATACAAAGACCAAAATTATTTGGCCCAAGATATTAATTCTATTTTTGTCCCACATCGGTAAAAAGATGTGGGACTAGCCCTCTTTAAATAGGGAAATATTTAATCCTTTAAGTAGTTGAAAAGGGGGCCCAATGGATATTGGGGTGGCCCATGAGCTTTTATCAAGCCCCATGTCCAATGAGCACACTTTGTAATAATTCACCCCATTTTTTACAACAAAAATCAATATTTGGTCCTAAATCCATACCCATCTTTCTCCCACATCGAAAAGAAATAAGAAGTGGGGGTACTTAATGAGATACCCCTCGGATCCGAGACACGGGTTGATCAGGCCCAGGCCAGAACCCGAGGGAATATCAAACAATTAAAGTGTTTTAAAACGAACACAGATTACAAAATTGAATATGAAATAATTAACAGTTAGAGAAAACATAAATTGAATCCTTTAAAAATTAATAACTGAAAATCCAAAACACCAATCATTTAAACAACTCGGGAATCCATCCATTGGACCCCTAATACGAAAATCCAAACTGAAGTAAAAATAATAAAAATATCCAAAATAAAGCTATCGAGAGAAGTCCTACGTCCTCATAAGAGTGAATAGAAATCTCTGCTCAGCACGATCAAGTCTAAGTCTAGAACTGACGAGTACCTGAAAAATAAAAGTGGGTCAGGCCCACGAATAAGTTCTAACCTACTACAATCCAACTCTACAATATCTATATAATCCGTAAATATTTATATATCCACACTACATGACTCTCACTGAACTATGCAGGGGGTCTCAACCTAAATAGAAGGCAACATACAAAGCGCACCTGAGTGGGCATGAGTACCTAAGCCTAACAGGGTATACCTCAACCTATCATATCCAGCTACGCATCCTACTGCATATACGCTTCTTAACCGACGAATCTGAGACTCAAGCTCATATCGTGGAACCATAAAAATATATTTAAAGTCCATCCTATCCATCCAAGGTAAGTCCAGTTAGTCATTCAGCTTGTGCAGCTTCTTCGACTTAACATAAATAGTAAGTAATCCAATTAGTCATTCAGCTTGTGCAGCTTCTTTGACTTAATTATAAGTAGGATTTTATTTACATAATACATTACCTTATTCTGATATAGGTAGGACTTAGCGTTTTGAGCTAATCCAAACCTAGTATGCCACCATCCCATACCGGTGCATACCATCCAACCATCCAACAGTTGATTAAATGGTTACTACATGTAACTATCAACTGATCCATAATAAGCATAAATATGGATATATATAAAATTGACATGCTTATTCTAGTAATTGATAAATCTAAGGAAAGAGATACATTAATTAATTCCATGAAGAGCATAATAAAAAAATAGATAAACTATCATACTCATACCATACCAATCCAACAATTGATGCGAGATATAATCAATTCTACACAAAAATTAATACCTAATAAGCATAGCAAAAATATAGTATTTGACATGCTTAATTTACATCGTTGATACATGATTAAAGACGTATAATCCTTGATAGAGAATTGCTAAAATAAGTCCCGGCAATTTAAAAAACCACAATCCGATTCAGTATACGCTAATTGTTACGAAATTCTGAATATTCAAATTTCTAACAATGTAAAACTGAACACCACCTTCTGTGTCTTAACCTACACTTCTAAACCACCTAAAACCCACCATCACAGTCTCTAACTGAAGTCTGAAACCCCAGAAATCCATACACGGAAGCCTAAACTCGCTGAAACATCGCAAGAAAATAAAAAAACTGAAGAAAACAATGGAGCAGGCTCCAAAAACAAGTGGAGCCGTCTCCACTAAAGTGTGGAGCCGGCTACACTTCAATGGAGCCACCTCCATTGAAGGGTGGAGCCGCCTCCACTCTTCCTAGCCTCCGTCTTCTCCAACACCGGCCGTTTTTCGCCTTTTCGATCATCTGTCCTCTATTCCCAAAACTCCTAGGTGTATAATACTAGGTCCATGGTGTTCCAGAATTAATTAAACCCTTTGTTTAGTAATTGTCACAACCAAAACCCGAACTGTGAAAAAGGATGCAAAACGAGCAATTTACAGTTCCTCCATGCTTACTATTTAAGTAAATCACCCATGAAATTCAAACCTATTTTAATGTCTCATCAACGTGT